AATCCTTTCGATAGTCTGGCAAATACGAGCCGATTTCGTTCGTGCCTGTGACATGACGAACATATGTACTATATATAACAATAGAGCGGAATTTGGATCAAGCAAATGATACAAACACTAATGAATAATTTATTTCAACAAGTGCGAATAGCGTTGCGAGTACTCATTGAAGCAAATTGTTCATTCGTATTTGTTTGCGTTCGTTCGTTCGGTCGTTGCATTGTAGTAATCATATAATTTTTTCCCTGTGCACAAAAAGAACAGTTTTTTCAAACGTTACTCCAACAAAATTATATTTAGATTTATATCTAGCTAAATTTTTAGTTTACTTTAGCAACTAAAGTATCTAAAAATTGAGTTAAATACATTTAACGCTTTATATAATCTTGAATTGTCAAAATAATTATGTGGGAGCTCAAGTTGGTTGCTAGAATGTTAAAGCTTTTTGCAACACTGCTTATCATGCTTGAATTTTTTACATAATTAATAATCCAATAAAATTTTTTTCAAATCTGCATCTACTTATTTTTATACACTTTAGCAAAATTGTTCTTTCCGTACAGGATAGAAAAGTGACAAATTTTTCCATTACATTGAATGACAAAAATATTTTTACTTTTCGTGTTTTCGTCTTAGGGAAAAAATTACATGATCGCTTGCTAAATTTCGTTTTACGTATTGTAACGAATTCTTCGCAAAAAAATGATGCATGCCGTTAGTATATGCTATATTTACATATTTAAAATATTACCTATGTCGTGATCGATTCTTCTACTTGGATATCGTGTCCATGGATTTCTGTTATAAAAGTCGTTGCCGGTTGGTCGTCTGGACGGAAATCGGACACTATAAATAAATTGATCTTCCGGTCTCATTGCTGGATATCCACCCCTTATTGAATCGGGATAATTCCTTCGACCAAACGTATCATCGTACAGTCTGTGATGAGGATATCCGTAAATAATGGGTGGTCGCCGATCGTGTTCCGCAAGTCTGTGATCCAAAGGCCGCGGAATCTCGTTTGAAGGACGCCGATCGTAATCGAACGGTCGTGGAATTTCCTGCAAGGGCCGTCGATCGTAATCCAGAGGTCGTGGCACTTCATTTAAAGGTCGCCGATCCGGAGCGTATGGTCTTGAGTCAAATTTTTGTTTGATTAGAAGTGAAACTTATTTCATTTGAACGATGAATAAAAAAAAAAGGAAGCGCATTGAATTCACGGTTGAGCGATTGGTTAAACAAAAATAATTTGATCAACTGCTTCTAAGAAACAAGCGTCTCTCATCTTTGTTGTAAATTACCATTCTTTCGTAAAAATAAATCGACGGCAATCATTCTCATTTCTCAAGGATTATTCCTACTAATCGACTTTGTTGTAATATAATATCGTTTATTTATTACAGTAACGACATAATTAAAAAATTGTTATTTTGCTTACAGAAAAAGAACAGAAATATAAAGAAAAAAAAACAGGACATACTTTTATTCCTAAACAATCAATTATTACGTAAAAATTGGATTTTATAATTAATATTACGAAGTTTTGATGATTCGAAACATTTAAATTCTGGAAAACTTTATACGATTGTTGTAACAAATGAGTGATTTTTAATGAGAGATATTAGTATTTTTGTATATTATTGATGAGCAAAATTTTAATTGCTGTACCTTGGCCTTTCATTAGGATAATAAGGTGGACCGTAAGATTGACCAGGTCTGGATGGTTGATTCCACCAGGATGGTCGCGTCTCAGGCGTGTTTATCACGCAATTCGGCTCTTTCTCATAATAATCGCATTGAGGATCCGATATGAAGTCCCGATGAAAATTCATACGAGAATGAGGTACCGATGTCATCTCGCATATCCCTCTCGTTCCATGTCCAATGCGTCTTTTTGGACAAAATCATGATTACTCATTAATAAATGCATCAGCATGAATTTAAATTATTTATTATTAACAGTTTTGGCGGTTTTTCCTTTGGCCTATGTTAATTGAATGAAAAACTGCTGTAACTTTCCCGACGCCCGTGCGTGATAGTTCTCCTCGAAGGAGAAGCGTGTCACAGATTGTGGTGCGATCAAATTGTCCGTGATGCAACCGCACGGTGGGTCATGCATACGTATGTACTGCATTTTGCGTGCGCATCTGATAATAGGTACCCTAGATATATACGCATGTGTATAGAAACGTGTATAAAATCATTGAAAAATTCCGAGCGTAAATAATCGCGTTTAACTGTTACGTAAATTATTTTTCGACTGTCTTGTAAGGATACTGAAAATATATAAATAATCTAATTAACACTTTTCTCTCGCGGAAACGTCTCGAGCTTATCGAACGAATTTATCGAGGAAGCTCTGTCATTGAAACATAATATGTTTGTATCGTGGAGTCAATATCAATTCGACGTATATTTTTTGAAACAATTTAACGAGTTCATAATTACGCGAAATAAATATAATAGTTTTGCTGAATTATCTAAAAATTAAGCTAGACAGATTTGAAAATAATTTTGTTTTAGACCATCAAAATAATTATATCGAATACGCAAACTGAATGTTGATTTTGCAGCGTTATTATCATGCTTGAGTGTCTTACATAATTATTTCGATGATCTAAAATTATTTTTCATATCTAGCTAAATTAGATATTCCAGCAAAACTATTTGTTTCCGTATATATACAAATCTAATTTTCCACATATTTTTTTCCATAAATATTCAATTAAATATTTAATTACCGATAGTTGAAGCCCTCGCAAGTGAATCGCTTCTCATAGTCGCAAGCGCGATGGCAGTCCTCGAGTCTTTCACATTCGATGGCACGTCTAACGTGCAGATCCAAGCTTTTCTTGCCGGACAGCAATCTTCTGTAGCACGCTGCAGCAAGAACGAAAAAAGAAATTTCAACTTTGCACTTTTTATAGAGGTAGCATTTTTTCTATACAACTTACGCAAACACTCGTCCTCCACTATAACTATCGAACTCGAAGTAATACGTCGGGCAATTATGACTAACATAAAGGTCCACAACCATCGACGTATCATGATTCCCACGTACGATCGAATCAGTTTATCTCAGCCAACGTAACATCCGAATTGAGATCACGAGAGAGGCGATGCGAATGTAAGATGCAAAACGATTCTTGCTTCAACATTTCGAACTTTCTTTTTCGTTCTCGCGATACATCACGAACCGCAGTGTAACGTAATCATTTTGTTATCACCCAAGGGAATTTTCACGTTTAAATCACCCCAATCCCTCACGCTCCGGCACGTTCGCGTAAAAAATGGCGCGAATTGAAAATCACGCAAAAAGTAACGGAGAAATTACAGGCTCGCGTCGTTTTATAGAAAAGTGAACGTTTCCGTAAGGATAGTGGGAGGCACCTGCTCACACGTCGGGGGAGGGGTTTCAGCGTTACATGATCATTAATGATTCCACTTACTATTATTTTTCTTTGCTCACAGACACGCGAGCGCTTCATTCTTTTGCCGTGCATCGTCATTTGGTATTTTATGCAATTTACGTAGAATGGATTAACGAGTCGCTCGTCGTTTTAAGTAATTACAGGATGCAAACCTTTAATTGAGACATTACTGTGCAGATGCATATATTTTTGTAGCATTGTTTGACTTATTTTATCGAGATTAGCATTATTTCCTCGAATTAATTTTAATCAATATTTATTGTACTTTAAAGATGTTATTTCGCATTTCAAATTGTTCATTAATTCTTTTCTAATGATTTTTGACATGAACTTTTTGTATTTCCACCCGAGATACATAAAAAAATTATTATTTTTTGTTCGCCATTAAGATTTCTATTCAGAAATCAACTGCCGGAACCATTTGCATTTTTCCGTCGTTAAAAAGAATTTTTGTGCCAAGGAACAGCAAAGAGGAGTGACATCATTTTAGAAGGGATATGCTGTGGCGTGTCCTTCGAGATATTTGTCAGGGTCACAATTACCTCAATTATTTCAGCCAGCCTGGCTCTTAATAACTCGCACCATAACTTTAGTAAAGCCACACTTCCGCGTTTGAATCAGTCAGCTAGATTTAATTATTCCGACCGTTATGCGATTATTATAAGTTGAATTTCGAGATTGCTCGAGAAGTGATTCAATGATGAAATTTTATAAATCGTGTCGCAATCGGCGTGCCCAATCGATTGCAACAATTCCTGATCAAAACGACGGACAGGCTACGCGCAATTAATTCGAAACACAGGCAGCATTAAGGGATTTAACTGTCGAAAGTAAAAGCGCTTTATGTTCATACATCACGCGAACCGGAAGCCAAGCGTCCTGTAGTGTCTCGGCATTTATATTTCTCCCTTGTGCAACTTGTCATGTACTGTGGTGGCACAATCACGAAAAGTCATCGAGTTTCCTTCAACTGGTCGTTGCTCGGACGACGAACTTGCCAAACAAGAAAATTGTTAATTCCTAAATATTAGAGACGTACATTTCTTGTAATGATTATTTAACTGAATGCATATTGTATTTTTACTTTTAATAGTCCGAGTAACAATTATTTATGCTGAGTAACTCGCTAGGCAAAAAGATGCACGCAAATTATACGATAAAAGTGGTTAACGCCGGAAGTCAACGGATGCAATGAGCTAATTTGCGTATAGTTTAAAATCCGTGTCAATGCCGTTGCTATTTGTCAATCAGCAGTTTGCAGATGAATGTGACTCGATAAATCCTGGCAGCTGGTTGCAGTTGTCAGGTTGAGCCAGTTGATGGCGAATAATAAATTAACAATTAATGTACAACACTGTGACTGAATTTTCTGATGTTTTTCGCATATCTAACATCTAAAATTTTTAAAATATCACGATAAGATGTTTACTAATCTATTAAAAATATGTCTCTTTTTCTCTTTAGTGCATTTATACAGGTAACTAAACTATTTTATTTCCAAATAAATAAAAATGATTTAAAAAATTAGGCACGTCAAATTAAATGTGATATTATATTTAACTGTATATAATTTGATGCGAAATTAATTTATTTAATTCGATGTTCAAAAAGTGAATTAATGTAACAGAACAATGTCGTTTTACGTAAGAGAGTGATAATCAACTTGTGGAACGCAGCGCGAGCATACATCATGCAATCGTGTGATTGCTGCATAAAAAAATTGAGGTTGCACCTCACATATGCGATGTTAACTGCAGTAACAAGTGTCCGAAGATTTGTGTCTCCGGTCTCTCGTGTATACGCCTCGTTAAAGACAGAGATTCGCATTTCCGTTTCTCGAGGTGTTAGAATTGCATCGGAAGTTAACACATTACGCGCAGATTGCATGCAACAAAAACTATATTGACAAAGAAATAGATGACTGATCATGAGTGAAAATCAATTCAAGTACTTACAGTTTGATTTTTCGGTGATCTTCGTACCGAAGTCGCGAAACACCGTCATCAGTTCTGGATTCCAGAATTCAAAAGTATCCTTGAATCCTTTGTTCGGGATTCTTGCTTCATTGAAGCCGCTGACAGTTGGACGAGAAGAGACTTTGCGGAAATCATAATTTCCAGCATCTAATTCGTTTTGTTTCGATTTTGTGATAATCCCTGGATTTTTATATACGTTATTGTGGAATTCTTGATGCCGATGCTGATCAAAATGATTTGTAACGCGGTGTTTCGTTGTATCGTGAGCGTTCCAAAATCCGAAATCCACTGGCGATCTATTTTTAGAGGCTCCATCGTAGACAAAGATGGGTCTCGAAAAAACTTCGAAAGGCCCGTTATGAACGGAGAGAGACTTATATGAATGAAGATCATTATCTAGATCTGATCCAAAATTCAGATGATTAACGTCATTGAAAGGATTTTGAAAAGATCCATGAAAATCAGGACGATTGTTTGAATCCGAGTGCGTTCGTTGACCGAAAGCTGATTTTCGGTTTGAATATATTGATAGATTATTGTAGTCGACTTTTGCGTTATTAGTTACAAAAGGATTGCTGGCAGGTGATATCGGATTTCTGTTTCTAACGATATCAGTGATGCGACGCTCATCGTCGAAGGAAGGCGTATGTCCTCGTTGATATGAAGGGTCATTAACGTTAGGCATTATATTTCCCATAGTTCTTTAAACGTGAAAAACATATAGTTGCATTTTTAAATCTGACTATTTTATATAAAATAAATATTGAAAAATCAGATTAAAGACAGTATTCAATCAAACTATTTATTTTAAAGAATCTCTTCTTTTCTTGTGAATACTTATTTTGATAACCTATTACAAAACAACTATTGACGAAGATGAAACTCTTCGCGTATTAACATGTTCTGTGCCGAACCAATAAATGACTTGACCACTACATTGCATGATGATCGAATCATTTATTGGCTTGGCACTGATCATCCACGGTATTTTTGTTTGCGTTTGTTATATTTGTTAAATAGCATATATTTCATAATGGTGTTAAAAAAATTATTATGAAAAAAGACTGTAATATATAAATATGCATCATATATCATAATTCACGTGTCAAAATTATATAAAAAATTATATCAAAATTATATAAAAAATTTATAATTATGTTTTTTTTTATAGCCAAAATATCAAATGGCTTGAAAGAAAGTCGTTTAGCCTGTAAGTACTTGAATCACCAATGACTCACGCAGACGGAATATGTTAATACATAAAAAAAAAACTGTTTTAAATTTTAGCAAAAAAACTTGTTTTACCGAAATACCTAAAAATTCAGCTATATATAGATATAGATTTGAAAATAATTTTGTAGGACAATCAAAATAATTATGCAGGATGCTTTTGCAACGTTGTTATTAACAGTTCTACATAATTATGTATTTTAACGACTATATCTAAATATCTAAATTTTTAGATATTTAGATACAATTAGCAAAACTCGTTTTTCCTGTGTACTCGTATTTTTCATAGAATATAAACATATCTTCACATTTTTTCCACAATATATCTGTCTCAAGGAAGATTAAGATAAGAATAAACAATAGAGATGCTAATGATGGAGTTATTTCCTTGAAATTAATAATCGTATATATATATATATATGTATATATATACCTTGAAGATGACAAGATATTTGGCATTGTTGAGCCCAAAAGGCCGCTTCCGAATGTCGTAGTTGGCATCGTCTCGTTTCTTCTATTTTGTCCGATATTACCGCTTCCCATTTTGTAAAGTCGATCTGGTTCGCAGTGTGGAGAACGTTGACTTCTCACATAGACATCATAATCAGCATGACTTTGTAGATCTTCTGGCATCGGCATTTTTACACTCAGCGCACATGTTCCGTTACCTTTCATGCCAATCCTAAATCAATATACACGTGTACACAAGGAGAGTTAACACCTCATCGTATAGAAAGAAAAATGTGATCTTGTTTTGAGAATTTTTACATTTATGTTTTTTATTTTTCTGTTTCTTATTGTGATTTGAATCTTTTATTGCATTTATATAACGTAGTGTATACCCGAAAGCGAACGCGTTACAGGAATTTCTCCTTTTCGAGCACTCGTCCTCGCATTCCGAAATGCTACCGACCGCAACGTTGGAGAAGATATCCATGTCCGGCAATTTCGATCCGATGGCTATTCTCGTGTAGCAATCTGCACGATGTAATTATCACATTCAATTGTTATGTCCATATTCTTTGGCAGCCAATCATTATTACTTACCATTCGCGATGATTACAAGTTGATTATCAATCATGAGGCCAATCGAATGCGATACTTGACAGGATCGCAGGAGATAAATGAGAAAAACAAGAAATCTCTGCTGATGACCCATTGTTAACAAATTCTTCATGTTTCAAGGATACTTTACTTCACTTCCACATAGCGTATGCAACTTTCTGTCTTTATATTTTTCATAGAAATAACTCTCATTATTTTACGTTATTATGACAGGATCGCGTTTTAATTTGTCGATAAAAAACGTAACAGGAAGGGTATTTACGTTTCAATTAATCCTGACTTACTCTTCCAATTCTCGTTAGTACTCACGTGAACACTTTAGTTATTGCTTTCTAGCCGTTATCTGGCGTTCTATTCTGTCTGCGATCTATGAATCACGGTTCATTCACACGAGACGTCCCTGAAAGTGTCCATTCGACGGGAGATGCGCATATGTGATGAGCGATCGCCGCGATTACGAAGGTAATTGTCAACAAAACCTTCCCAACGACATTACGAGGCGTATTTCAAGAAAAACGGTTGACATACGCACGCCATGCAATTGCAAAAATAATTCTCGTTGTAAAAAAAAATGTTTTACAAAGATAAATTTATACATCACTACGAGAGATTTGTGTTCACTGGATCACTGGCTTGATCGGCATCTCGAGGCGAAGTGAAGACCGCGCCGATTCGCGCGTACGATCTATCTTCTGATTTCTTCAGCCAATATTAACGAGCTCCTTTAATTAACAGGCCGGGCGTAACTAGCGTGTAGTCCTTGCTGCGGTTCATTATACTTTTCGCGTACGGGTCCCTTGTGTCGTGCCTCTTACGATTGGCTCACAACTGAGAGGATCGTGTAACTGTATCATTGTCTTATACAGCACAGCCGGCATTATGATCTTCTGCTTCCTCCGCTTGCTCCGCTTCTTCTCTTCATCTTCTCCTACTCGCTCCTTTGCGTGACGCTTGCACGCTCAAAGGAGCTCGTACTCGCTCCTTTGAGGATCTGTGCGCATGCGAATCTCTCTCTCTCTCCTCTTTCCTTCGCTTCGCGGTTTTGCGACTGTATTTAATTAACGCATCGGCGAACGGAGCAGATCGTGATGTCCGTAAGATTGCAAAATGGAATTGTGTACCTCCTCGCGCGCTCGCGTAAATTGTTCACGATATCTCACGCGTGCAATTCAGTTGTAAACTTTAGCTACGATTCTTCGTTATCGAAATTTAAACCATTGATTACCGATGGAAAAAATTAATAATTGTAAACTTTGTACGTTCACGATAAGTATTACGAATATTGTCATTTAAAAATTTAACATAGAAATGCCAAAAAAAAAAAAAAAATTAATGTACAAGTTGAGTTTTCAATATTGTTTTGTTAACATCCAAATTATTTCACGCATACTGAATTTTATTTTTCTTCTTCAATCATTTTATAATACCTAATCTTATTTTTTGCGGCCTATTCCATTTACCGGAAGGGAGGGCCGATTACCTCATTCAAAGAAGCGCGATCGTTAACAGGAAGAAAGTGAAAATGCACCTGTTGCAACGGCATGACGAGATGAAATTCTTCGTGTTTGGCAAACCTCAGAACTCAAATTGTCTCGCGCGCACGTGGATTCGGGGAGGGCAATTTTCTTGCTGTGTAGCGGGCGTGTCAAGCAAGGCGTGTAAAGTCATCATTGCGCCGGTTCTCTTTGCGTAAAATCGAGCTGCAGTTACAACGCGACGATTGCGATTAGTCAATCTTCTACCTACTGTTTTACGGCCTATTGTCCTTAAACGGTAATAAAACTCCATTATGCTTGCACGGTATGTTAATCGATCCTTCAGTTTGTTCAAAAATATTGCTTTATAACGCATTATCGCTGCCGCTTTGCTTTCGACTAATTGCGAGCGCTTTTACTTACGTGCGAAAGCCGCGCGCGTAATCGCATCTTTGCAATTATCTATCTCGGAGTTACACTACATTTCAGAAATGAACGGATACTTAATTATAGTCTGTAACGGTACATCCTCGTATCTTTCCGGTTCTGATCCTCAGCCTTATTTAGGTACGCCTATAAATGCTCATCGAAAAGACGTCAAGTAATTGATTCAAACGAATTTATACCGTTCGATAGCAATACAGCTATTCGCAATGTAGCTTATATATTTGATAATTTTATATTATAATTTAATATATTTAAATATTAATTTTAACTTCACGATTCTACATTTCTAACAATTTTCCTTGTACTTTTCATATCAGAGCTCATGTATTCTTTTTCCTTTAAATTCTTCACATTGCGTGAGCTTAAGGTCTCTCTTTTTCACATACACACATCAAGAATCGCAGTGTTTAAATTACGCTAATGAAAAAAAACATGAGTTTCGGGTTCCTTGACTCTCGCACACGCGAGCGACCCTGAGCACAGAGCGCGTCTTGCTGCTGCGCGCAGGTTTTGAAGACGCCGCCGCGCAGTCCTAATGAGCCTAGATGCATAATAAACGGGCGCTTACATAACGAAAATGGGATGAGTTACACGTAGACAAAGCTGGGACGTTACGCTCCGCGAGGCCTGGCCTGGAGTGAGAATGAGTCATTGTGTGATTATCACTCTCTGTCGTAGTGAGACGAGCAGATTTCCCGAGGAGACGCAGCTTTTCGGACTTTTCGAACAAGCGTATCTTGTCTCGACCTTGTTTAAAGTAATATTTATATATTTCTCTCAATTTAATCTTATATATATTAAATTATGAAATATAAGGTAGGCATCACACAGAGTGGATACTTTAAGCAATGAAATCTATATGTTAATAATCATAGAATTTAACAGGAGCTCGAAGGAAAATTATTTATAAATGCATTATATATTTTTTTATCATAAATATATTTTTTGTTGTTATAAAATCTTCTAGAAATATGTTCAATGAGATGCGCGCGTGGTTATGCCTATCACAATATATGCAAATTAGTTTTTTTTCTTAAAAATATCGATTTAAAAATTCGTCATTTGCGTAGTATAGATAGATATTCAAACTTAAAGTTTAGCAGTCTTCGTGAACAACGTAATATAAATTGCTGTTTTTAGTGCCGAGTCACTACCGTGTCTCCATATCTAAACTATTTCATGCATAAATAATTCACGCACCGACGTAGAATACTGTTGTTTGTATAAAATTATGAAATAAAAAAAAAGCAGTTAATCATAAAGTAATTATTATTGTAATTTGCGAAGATTAATTTTCTAATAGCATAATCGTCATGCGTACATTAATCAGTTTTTACACAACATGTAAAATCATGCATTTCTACTATCACATTATGAAGTAGAATTAGAATATGTCGAAATTTATCAAATTAGAAAATTTTGAAATATATTGTAGTTAACTAAGTTTTATGCAGAATACAGATTTCCTATTTGTCTTATCATAACTCTAATAATTTTGATTTGACTTTATCGCGTTATTATGAGATCTACATATAAATTTAATATGCAAAAAATATAATCTTTTTTGTCTATCGAGCTCACTTTTATGCTCATTTATAATAAAAATCCGGTTTATATACTGGATGATTAAAATAAGGGAATAAACTTCGAAGGTGAATTCCCCACATCAAAACACGGAAAAAGTTTATATAAATATGCCTAAAAAATATTTTTAAAAAAGAAAAATATACGCCAAGCACATAAAAAAGATATCGAATATTCACACTTTTTAAAATAAAAACAGATTTGAAGTAAATGCACTTAGCTAAGTATTTTATTACTTAAAAAAGATCTTGAAAAAGCTTATTTGTAAAAAAAATCTATTAATTATTAGACACATAAAAAGGACTTAGTAATTAAAGTGATTAACTGGATTCAACTTTTTTTTTAAATTCGTATATAAAATATTTATTAATAGAGTCTAGTTTAACGCGTGTATAAAAAATGAAAAATAAATAATATTTAATATAATATTATTTATTTTTCATTTGATATAATAATATAATATTTATATTATATAATAATTATATTTAAATATAA